TGGCGGTCACCTGTAGTCCCAGCTACTTGGGAGGCTAAGCAAGAGAATCGCCTAAGCCTAAGAGCTGGAGGTTGCTGTGAGCTGTGACGCCACAGCACTCTACTGAGGGTAACAAAGAAAGACTCTGTCTCAAAATAAATAAATAAATAGAAAACCATTAGCATATTTTGATTGAGCCCAAATTTGATTAAGAAACGAGATGATACAAGACTCAGGAACACTTTCACACTGTTGGTGAGGATGCAAACTGATACAGCCTCCATGGAAAGAAGTATGGAGAACGCTCAGAGAACTCAAAATAGACCTTCCATGTGATCCCACAATTCCACTACTAGGCATCTACCTACAAGCAAAAAAAAAAAAAAAAAACCAAAAACTTCATTTATTTATTTATTTTCTTTGAGATAAGAGTCTCAAGCTATCGCCCTGGGTAGAGTGCTATGGCACCATAGCTCACAGCAACCTCCAACTCTTGGGCTCAAGTGATCTTCTTATCTCAGTTTTTCTATTTTTAATAGAGACAAAGTCTCACTTTGCTCAGGCTGGTCCTGAACTCATGAGCTCAAGCAATCCACCTTCCTCTGCCTCTCAAGGGTGCTAGGATTACAGGTGTGAGCCACATCGCCTGGCCAAGAAACAAAACTCATTTTATAAGGACATTTGGGTTAGATTGTTTATCGCAGCTCAATTCCCAATCACCAAGATGTGGAAACAACCTAAGTGCCCATCAACCCATGAATGGATTAATAAACTGCGGTATATGCATACCATGGAATACTATTCAGCCATAAAGAAGATGGAGACTTTACATCTTTTGTATTAACCTGGATGGAGTTGGAGAACATTCTCTTTAGTCAAGTATCACAAGAATGGAAAAGTAAATATCCAAAGTACTCGATACTAATATGAAGCAAGTAGACAATCTAATATACATCCACACAAGAGAAGAACTCAATTCCATTTCATTCAAGTTGAGGGGAGGAGGGAGGAGGGAAGGGGGGAGGATGGGAGATTGGAGTGCTCCCACCAAGCGGGCACAATGCAAGGGTCTACAGCACACCTCTCACGTGAGACACACAGGGACTCTTCCTAACCAATGCAAACACTGTAACCTCATTGTTTGTACCTTCAGACCAATATGAAATTGAAAGAAAATTAAAAAATTTAAAAAATGAGACAGTATAAACAGCATTAAGGAGACTGATCCGATCCATTGATATATCACTTTTAACACAGTGTAAGTGGTGAGCTCATGTGTTATGTGGAGAACAAGAAGAGACAGGAGAAGGGCACATTCCAGGCATCTACAGTTCTCCATGTTACAGAGATTTATATGATAGAGAAATAATACAGAAGTTAGAATACTTATAATGGGAAATATAAGGTATAAGGAACTATTTTCATCTATACTATATCACAGACAATGTAAAAGAAAATTCTAGGAGAGAAAACTTAGACATCAATCTCCTTTATGCACTAGAATTGAAACCCACCTCAGAGGTTATAGTGAAAATTTTGGACCTATTTATAAATTCAAAGACCATTTGATGAGTCCAGGCTGATGGCTATAACTTACGAAACTATACATCTGGGGTGAGAGGTCTAACACAGGGTCCCCAAAGTGTCACCAGTCTCTAGTTCTGTCTATGCTGTAAGAAGGGAGGAGAAAGGGGACACCCCCATCGACTGGAGGCAGCCCCCGTGCTAAGGCAGGGTCAGGACCCAACAAGGCCTGGAAGCTCTAAACCCACTGCCAAGACTGCTGCTGATACCCAATCAACTGACATCTGGCCTGAATCCCAGTCAGGCGCGGTGGCTCACACTGGTAATCCCAGCACTCTGGGAGGCCAAGGCAGGAAGATCACTTTAGGCCAGGGGTTGAGACCAGCCTGAGGAATATAGTCAGACCCTGAATCTACAAAAAGTAGAAAAGTTAACCAAGTGTGGCAACTCAGGCCTATAGTCCCACTTACTCAGGAAGATGAGGTAGGAAGAACAGAACGAGACCCTGCCTCTTAAAAAAAAAAATTAATTAATGAAATCAACATTTTGAATCCTGAATCCACATCCTGATGTAAAGGCTGGCAGCATTCACTGCTAAGTGCCTAGAGTGACTGAGTCCTTTTGAGTTTAAACTGTCACGTTAATATATGTCTCTAATTCCTGGGAAACTAAGAGAACTATTATAATAGACTTTCAAAACAGTTGACCCTTGTAAAACACAGGAGTTGGGGCGCTGACCTGTCTTGAAGTAAAAAGTCCACATATAACTCTTAACTCCCCCAAACTTAACTACAAATAGCTTGCTATTTGTCAGCTATAATAACTATAACAACTAGTTATAGTCTTACCAACAACATAAACAGTTACTTGTCACGTTTTGTTTATGTATTATATACTATGTTCTTATAATAAAGTAAGCTAGAGAAATGGTATTAAGAAACTCAGGGGAGGCTCAGCGCCTGTAGCTCAAGTGAATGTGGCTAAGGTGCCAGCCACATTCACCAGAGCTAGTGGGTTCAAATCCAGCCTGGGCCTGGCCAACAATGACAACTATAACTAAAAACTAGCCGGGCATTGTGGCGGGCACCTGTAGTCCCAGCTTCTTGAGAGGCTGAGGCAAGAGAATTAATTGCCGAAGCCCAGGAGTTGGAGGTTGCTGCGAGCTGTGATGCCAAAGCACTCTACCCAGGGCCACAGATTGAGGCTCTGTCTCAAAAAAAAGAAACTCAGGGGAAAACACATCTGCACTACTGTACTGTATTCATTAATATTGTGAGTTGATGCTGTTTGCAAGATGAACCGCCTGAAATGGTGGCACCAGCAACTGCAGACCTTGGCCTCAGTGCACAGCAAACAGCTCGCCGTTTTCTTTACAATGTCACGACTTTTCTCTCCTTCCTGGGAGGACTTCCAGCCTCACTGGCAGTGCTTCACATGGGTTCCATGGAGTTACTTAAGGTTTACAGCATTGCACTAAATATGATAAAAAATACACAAGAACTCCAAGAGGTCATTTTTACTGGAACCGTAGTTTACTAGAGAGACAAACAGCTCACTTGGAGATAATCAGCTCACAGCACTTGAGTGCACCACAGTTGCAACAGGAGGTGGATATAAAGTGATCGCAATAGTGGGGTATGTCCTATAGTTAGTTAATTTGTGCAGTTAGGATTTAATACTTTGTCTTTACATTTGTTTTCTTTCTTTTTTTTTTTTTAAGACAGAGCTTCAAGCTCTGGGTAGAGTGCCGTGACATCACAGCTCACAGCAACCTCCAACTCCTGGCCTCAAGCAAGTCTCCTGCCTCCACCTCCCAAGTAGCTGGGACCACAGGCACCCGCCACAATGCCCGGCTATTTTTTTGGTTGCAGCCATCATTGTTGTTTGGCAGGCCGGGGCTGGATTCGAACCTGCCACCTTAGGTGTATGTGGCTTGAGCCACAGGTGCTGAGCCTGTTTTCATTTTTCTTGACTGCAAACGGTCTGTATCTGCATGCATAAGTTGTGACAAATTTTAACTTTCTGTAACAATTGTGCATATTTTTCGGTAGTAACCAGCAACATAGAAGCTGTTTTATGTATTCATGACATAACTTTTTCTTGATTTTTTCAATATTCCTAGGCTACCTGGTTCATCTGCAAGTTTTCCCAAATTGCTACAAATCTCCAAAACATTTTCCAGTATATCTGCTGAAGAAAATCCACACGTAAGTGGCTCCGCGCAGTTCTGAGCAGTGTTGTTCAAGGGTCAACGGTTCCCTTTGGCATCCAGATGCTGCCCTTGCATCATGCTACACACACAATAAAGAAAAGATTTATTTAATTATTCTTGTGAAATGAAGATTAAAACCACTAAGCCATAAAATGTTTTAGTCATGCCAGTCTCTAGCGTGAAGTCATCTCGGCAAGCACCAGGATGAAAACTGGAGGAGAA